AGAAAAATACTCAAGAAAAGTACAGAAATCTGAAAATTCTATTCAAATACAGCAACAAAATATTTGTACTTTGTAACTTCCCACCTCTGCTTAGTTACCTTTAAAAATGGCTGGTTTACCCCACCCCCACCCCACACACACACACACACCAGCTTTAATGCTACAGGTGATCTGTGATCTGATTCTAAGCTTTATGCTAAACAGGTGTGAGGGTGTTTAATACTGTGTTATAGCAGTATCAGTTATTCAGAAATAATAACCACAATCAACACAACATCATTTATCTGTTGTTTCTCACCCTTTTGCTACCTCCAAACTTAAACATAGCCTCATGAGCCTGTGGTTGTGTAATTGAATAGCACAGCAAAAAGTACTTGTGTGAATGTACGAGTTGTGTAAAGCACTTTGAGTTCTCAGATCAAGTAGAAAAGTGCTTTATAAGTCTTCATTATGACCCTGCCTCTTTGATTTCACTGTACGTGTGTTTGTATTTGGAAGAAAGAGGAACCTGTAGCCCAGCGGTCCCCGACCCCCCGGCCACGGGCCGGTACCGGTCTGCTAGTCGTTTGGTACCAGGCTGTGAGAGTCGAGGCTCGGGTGTGAAATTTATCGTTTTCAGGGTTTTAATCGTTAACTCGGTTCCCCCGGGTCTTTTCCCGTGTTGTAGTTTGTGCATCTTATTTTGAAAGACATTTTTACATGTTACCATAGCGACCACAGAGCATTAAGGGGCAGAGAGGAGGATGTTACTCTCAGTGTTGCTGGTGCATTTCTAGAGGACGCTGCTAATAAAGTTACACAGTGAATTCACGTTTATCATTATATTTACAAAAGACCAGTTTCTGTCTCGGCCGTATCGTTTTATTTTGGTGCGATCGTGCGCCACGCCTTAAAGGCCGTGAAAATATCTTCTGACATTAAACTGTCCGTGACACAAAGGCACCGCTGCTGTAGCTGATGCCATCCTGGTGCCATTGACCTCTTTCAGGACTTGCTTGGCTGAATATTATAACACTATGTGCTGGCTCTATATTTCCTGAGGTGGCTACTGTCACCACATATTGGGGCAACTGACCATTTAAGATTTTGCGTTTAGCTTTCTCATTAAAATGTAGCCACTTTTGAATATTCAGTCGTGCCAATCAGAGCAGAGAAAGTAACCACTACAAGTTTTGTCGTTGCTGTGAGGACTTTGAAAACATACAAACTTTTACTGATGTATTAATGCATAAACATGCTCCTGTCATACTTGGACATTTAAGAGTGTGGGTATGTTTATGTCTTGTGTAGAGGTTGTGGAGGTAGGGAACAGTTTACTGCTAGAACAGTAAGTTAATAAAACGTAAACAGAAATGGAAAAGAGTAATGATTAAGCACGCCAAGGCCTTCATTTTGACTGCAAGGCAGCCAACGTGGACGGACCGTCTGCTCCTCTCTCTGTGCCTTGCTGTTTATTTTGTAATTTGTTTAGACTCAAGTCTAGAAAGTTGTAGGGATGATGTTGTTTTTGGTAAGAAATCTGACGGGACTGTGAAGGAGAAAGAATCATGATAACAGACAAAAACATTATATCCCTCAGGACAACATGATCATCGAACCCACCAACTGCACTACAGCTACGTTTGTGTGGCTGTGATGATGCACACGAGAATAACACCTGGATCCAGGAAACTCAGCACAGTCACTGACATATACAAAAACCAGCCAATGGAAACAAAGAAGACAGAGCCAGTTCACAGACATCAAGGCAGTAAGTGAGTGAGAAGGGTTTGGCAGAACAAGACACAGACAAAAAGCGGTTCTCACATGCTCTCATTGGGTGAGATACTGTCAGTGAGATAAGAGCCATTACGATTCTCCATTTCTGCTAACCTGCAGAGGGGGAAGAAACAGAACAGTCAGTCCCCAAACCAAATGGTTGAACAATTAGCAGATGAGAAGGACACACAATGCTAAACCTTTCATGTCACTGAGAGTTTTCAGAGTACTCAAGAACATTTAGTTCGACAGGGAAAAACTCATTTTACTGGGAAACTGGTTTAAAATATAAAATATCATTGTTTTTCCCCAGTGTTTGCCATATGTTGTCATTATTTTGTCCTTTGCAGATGAATGTTAGACGCTGCAGGGAATTAATGGCAGAGCCCAGCAGATTTCAGCATATCACATGGGAAAAGCTCCAGCCATGCCAAGCTAAGCATTTACCGCAAGGACCTTCTGTTTCCAACGTACAGACAACTTCATACAAAAGTATTAACAGAAATGTTCAGAATGAACAACAACATATTCCTAAGGATAGTGCTGCCTTAAAGACTTCCACCCAAGCTCATTGCAGAGAAATAAAAGCCAAACGTCCCAAAGAAAGACCCTCCTCTGGCATAGTAACCATGTTACGTGTGACATGTGATGAACGTTTTGATCATCTGGGACTGGACACGAGTAGAAGTCATTTCTTCAAACTTCCATTAATAGATTAAATAGACACATTTGTAACATTGACACTGACATTCCATTCTTCCCCCTCCTCTCCTCTACGGACGGACTGTGACAGACTGACGACTAAGGCTGGTGTTGTTACAATTAACAGATAACCTCATGGCTTGGGAACCATCAGCTCACTAAAGGCTTAACCATGTTATTTCTGCACCCTACCACCAGCTTTAATCAGCTGCTGGATGTTTTCTGTGCCGATCTGGGCCTAACAGGCTGAAAGCGCTGGGCTGAAGGGTTTGTTTGCGTTAGCCTAAAGCAACAGTGAGACGTGTCAGAACCCTGGCAGAGATCAAATACTTAGCCTTGGCTTAACGTTTGGCTCACACCAGAGGAAAGCCAACAGCTCCCAACTGACTAAAATGCAACTGACCAGCTGCCTGATTGAGTCATTGTTTAATTTAACTTCTTCTAGTCCCTCAGCAGTGGGTTAGTGGGAGCAGTTACCTGCAAACTAAATTAACATGTAAGCAATAAGTTCTAACCGACTATATTAATGGCCTTTGCCCAGAGTCCAGTACTGGAGAGTATTACATGGATATAATGTTAGTTTATGGAGATGTAGATTTAGTTTGTACTTCAGTCAGATTCAGTCTTGATCGTGAGCTTAGTTAGACCATGACTAACTGAAAACAACTTGAGCATACTTGGCATTAAAAGCACAAAGACTCCGGGCTGTAAGGACTGTTCGCAGTGACCCATGACCTGAACTTAAATACAAAGTCATTATTGTATGAAACTGACACGTCTTTGAAAAGGAGACGTGTTTGATGACTACATCAGGGAAAAGTCATCACTCTTCAGGTCCAGGTCGATGAGAAGGTGACACATTTAGGACCTAAAGAAGGCAGCAGGTTCCACTGAGCATCTGCTCGTGGGACGTGCAGAATGTATGTGGAGCCAACAGGTATGTGAAGGTACCTTACATCAGAAAGAGAGCTCCAGCAATCCCACAATCCAGTGAGGACAGGAAAAACTGTCCTCTGTGACTAAATGTCTGCATGAGCACAGTGGGGGAGGGGCACAGAAAATGCTTTGCTTTAGCATTTTTCCCCAAAATAATAATTTCAAGTCACATGAGTCAAAATGACTGTTCTGCAG